CATAACCACCTGGCCATGCCGGGCCTTTACCAACGACTAGTGGGATTGACCGTCACATTATAACAATCCCACGGGCGTGGATGTTTGTTGATGGGATTCGAACCCGCTACCCTCAGATTGCGAGTCGAGTGCCATAACCACCTGGCCATGCCGGGCCTTTACCAACGACTAGTGGGATTGACCGTCACATTATAACAATCCCACGGGCGTGGATGTTTGTTGATGGGATTCGAACCCGCTACCCACAGATTGCGAGTCGAGTGCCATAACCACCTGGCCATGCCGGGCCTTTACCAACGACTAGTGGGATTGACCGTCACATTATAACAATCCCACGGGCGTGGATGTTTGTTGATGGGATTCGAACCCGCTACCCACAGATTGCGACCCTAACCACCAGGTCGTGTTTACAATGTATATTTTAAACATATGCTTACACATGAATTTAAAAAGAAAAGTACTGAGAGTTGATATTTCGATGCACAGAAACTTTGTTCATTACGTCTTTATTATTTACATGGTTCTATAGACGTTCATGATGTTCCAGTGAAATACAAATACTAGATACACGATATAATTGTTGATATCTTGGCTGTTTGTACATTTCTTTATAACAAAGCCCCGTTGGGCTATCTGCTATGTCCCCCGGGGGGATCGAACCCCGGACTCTAGCATCGTAAAACAATAAACTTATCACTATTCCACCGGGGGAGACAATTTTGATGTAGTACGTTGACAAACCTGCTCAGATGTTTCATTAACTTTTTCTCAAGATAAGCAGATATAAACAGCTCCCCCCCCCCTGTAGCACAGCGGTATGTCTGCGGACTTACAACACTAGAATCTGGGTCTCGATACCCGTGGCGGGCAGAGCACAGATAGACCATTGTGTAGCTTTGTGCTTAACTTCAAAGAAAAAGATATGAACATGCGAGCCTATATCCAGCTTTTGGTTTGTGAAATTGATCCTTTGGGTAAATGTCTTTTAGGCCATTTGACTCCGCTACTTAAATTTTCTTTAAACTAAAGCGTTTTGTGACCTATTATACAAATAAATCAGACTGTAAATGCTTTTTTATTTGTCCGCATGCCTTCTACTTGTGGTAATATTTCCCGCCAGCGGTACTTGCATTTTAAAGTCTCCTTTGCAATACATTGGGGAAAAATATTGGAAACGAAGAAATAGCAGTACAAGATGCTGAGGATATATTGGTTCGTATTTACTTCCTCAATTTAATTTGTATAATGTATTTCTATAGCTCATATTATAAATGGGTTTATATGTATATATATATATAAATATAATTATACAGCGTTTGTTCATAACAAAGCTTTCTTGTACAAAAGAATACACAACCTTATATAATACATAAATAAATTTACTAACAAATGCGCCCTCTAGAGTTTACTATTTGTTTGTTTCGGATGCTGCAAAGTGAAAGATGAGCTGTCTGTGCTACTTATCCCTATCTGTCTACTAATAGACTAGATGGAGAGTATCTACTCAAAAGCACTCACCGCCAACACTTGGGCAACTCTAGTCGAATAACGGGATTTGATTGTCACTCTTATGACACAAGTGCGCTCCCAAAGTGCGGATCCAGAGTCCTTCAGATTCCACCATTCCAGGCTAAGCCTGTTTAGGATGTCGTTATATACTTCATAAAAAACGTATTTTGAACTCTGGCACTTGAGGGTTAAAAGACGAGAAATGAAAAAGATAATAAAGCATTTCTAAAATGCAGATAGTAAACCACACAAATCAAAAGGAAATATTATCGCGAGATATTTGACCATATTCAGGTGATTTATTGCTTAAATAAACGATAGAGTCAGGAAATCTTAACAACCTCTGATTATTTTTTTTAAACACGAGGACACATGTGTTGTTGTTGTTCTTGGCAGTTATTTTGATTTAAAAATAATTATCTCCTAAGAAATAATTACTAATCAAGGGTGCTCTAAGATTAAACAAGCCTCCTTCACCCTGCTCGAGGCATAGGGTTAAATTTCAATTAATGGTGAGCGGAATAATGAGCCGTATGGGCGAAGAAGAGGTAAGGACACATGTGCTTATTTACATGGAAATTTATTCATTGAAGCTCAAAATGAATTAATATTTTTACTTTACGTGACATCTTGTGAACAGTCATTTTCTTCCCCCACATTTTGAGAGTGGAGAATGAGAAGGAAACAGTCAAAATAATCCCACTTAACAACCAAATTTGAGGTAATTTAAAGTGGCCAGTAACTGTCATTTATTTTATAACGATATTTCTTTCAAAACGAGCTTATCTATATGAAACTAAATCTTTATTGTACACTGTTCTATACAGGGTAAATATGTATACCTCATTGGTGATGTAAATTTTTTTTTTAGAATAATATATCTCAATATCTGAAAATGTGTCAGAAAATTTAAAACTGTTGTTATCCATAAGCACGTGGAACTTGAAAGACTGTCACGTCGAATTTTTATTGGATTTAAAGTAATGGCTAGGATTTTGAACGCTATCTCTATGGACGTACAACTTAGCAGAACGTGTCACTAAATTACTCTACCATTGTTGAAAAGCACATTCTGCTTTGTGTATAAACGTATGTTTTACTACTAAAAGTATAAGTTCTGAGGTTTAGCGGAAAACTAAAAACTACAGAGGATCGTAGTTTATGGATGAATCATTTCTGATAATTTGAGTTAGATGTTGTTGTTGTTGTTTCAGTCCAATGAAAATGTATCATGTAATTGTCTATGTTATACCATATTCCAATGGGAAGA